GCATCGCTTCTAGTAACAAGTGCCTTACTAGTAGTAACAAGAAGCTATTAGAAACAAGTGCATCGCTTCTAGTAACAAGTATTTTGCGATATTTTCTCCCAAAAGAGGCGTCCGACGGCCAGAACTCCATCATCCGCCTCGGACTCCGGTGGCGGACGGACAAACCGGGCGGACACGAACGGATGGATGACGACGGATGACAGGCACTTGTTACTACTAGTAAGGCACTTGTTTCTAGTAGCGTGGCACCTGTTTCTAGTAGCGTTCTTGTTCCTAGTAGCGATGCACTTGTTCCTAGTAGCGAACCTTGTTACTACTAGTAAGGCACTTGTTACTACTAGCGAGGCACTTGTTACTAATGGATGGATGACGACGGATGACAGGTCGCCCAGCTGAAATTCGCCTGGCTCTGGACATCGCTCGTCCTGACGCTCCTCTTTGACCGCTTGGAGCTGAGAGGGGTTGCGGCGAAGAGGAGCGTACCACAGCGAAGTACTGTGACCTAAGTGATATAAGTAACGCAAACACCTTGATTGAACTTACTTATATATAAGTTATTGTTGATCGATTTTTTTCATATTTTTTCTGTAGATGTCTTTTCTTTCCCTTGAGCCTTCGAACGGAGCTGACTGAGCCAAGGGAATGTACGGGAAGATGGATTCTGGAATGGATGGGATGAGCGTACCATCGTGGTGGCCTGCTCTTGGCACTCCCTGCGGACATTGACCGATCCAGAGCAGCGACATGATCGAGCGGCTGTGGATCTAGGATCATCTAAGAACTGCCCAAATAGGCACTTGTTACTAGAAGCGATGCACTTGTTACTACTGAGCCCTGCACGTGTCAGAACCTGACAGTTTTCCGGCTCAAGTGGCATGCCCGCTGCTATGATTAGCGTTTGTAGTCATGGCAGCTGCATGTCACAAGGCTCTGCCGCTCTACTATCGGACCTTGAGGAGAATAGGTTTCGCGAAACACAGGGTGAGGATAGCAGGGTGCTTATAGATTTCCAGCAGGTGCTTACAGAAGGCCGGTTTTGAGATGTGGAGAGTTATTCGGTTGGAAGCCGCTCTTAGGTTGGAGAGTAAAGACGATTTCCAATTGGCATCCGTCTTCTGCAGGACTTGTCCGAGGTGTTGCCATTGAAGTTCAGCCAGCGCGGCTGCTTGGGCCTATGTGGTCAAGGTCCCAACTCCTTGCTAGAGAACATGCCAGCCAAAGCCGGGAAACCCGGCAACCAAGCTGTGAATCGTTTGGACTCCTTCAGCAAGGTCCTAGCAATGGTCAAGAAGTTCCTCCGAGCCCAAGGTTTCTGGGAAGCGCAAACGAGCGAAGAAAACAGGACGAGAAACCGAAGAAAGAACACCTGAAACGAAACCCAATGCAAGGAATGCAAACAGTTTTGACTTTAGTGAAGCTTTGACGTACAGACCTGATTTCCTCCCAAAAATCTAGGAACCAGATCATTCAGCGTGATCCTTTCTGCCTTTCTGGGTTCCAGGGAGTAGCGACTTAAGCTTAGTAGCGACTCCTAACCTCGACGAAAGGAAGCCTACGTCCGAACCGCCCGCCTCCATCGCCGCCGAGGTGCTGAGTTTGCTGTGCCTGAAGAAGTTTTAACAAGAGCTCGCTTCAAATCAGATGCCATGAGGCTCTTGAGCAAGAGTCCGTTCCGCCCACAACACACCCTGGATGACATGCAGGGAGCCATCGAATCGCTCTCAAAAGCGCTTGACATGGAAGATCGATTGATCCACGGATCTGGGGCGATCACGACGGATCGTCATCTGAGTCGATCACGTGTTTTTGATCTTCTGCTCCTTCGCGGCAAGGCCTGGGGTCGCCTGTGTTTGGCCAAGCTGAACTCCGACACCGACGTGGAAGCCCTGGTCACCGCAGCGCTGCACGATTTTGGCCGCGCCCTGCTTGAGAAGCCCAGATCCTTCGAAGCACTGGTTGAAGCGGCACATATCTATGCATTTAGTGGTCAAACTACAAGAGCTGTGGAGTTCTATGAGAAAGCCATAGATCTCATGAAGACCTCCGGTACCACCCACGAGTCTGCTCGCTTGCAGCGTCGAGTGGAGCGGCTCAAAGCAGGAGGATCGATCGAAGTAGACACAGGTGACGGCAGCGGCTTGTGGAAAGTCGAAGAGATCACCGGCGTCACGGCCGACACGTGTGTCTATCATTTGCGTCTCGGCCGATCACCAGGGAATCCTCATCCCTATCCGGAAAGTGCATGGCATATTCAAGTCTTTCTGGGCTCCACCGTTCGAGAATATACACCCATCTCGTCTGTGAGCGATTGGGAAGACGGGTCGTTGGATCTCTTGGTCAAGACATACCCGGATGGCACGGTGTCACGCTTCTTTGGTACCTTACGAACGGTACAAGAAGCCAGAGACCTCGCGCTGCAGAACTATGCGCCTTTGGAGGAGCAAAACTGCTGGGTTCGTGTCTCTGCTCCACTCTTGACACTGCAATTGCCGTCCTTCTCCGAAGGCGGCAAGATAGTGGGACCAGTGGAAGATCTTGGCATCATAGCAGGTGGTACTGGAATCGCTCCAGCTCTGCAAATTCTCTCTGAATGTCTTCCTGGCAAATCACTAAACTGTAGGGCAGTCTTGCTGTATTCCAGCCGGAGCCTGCAGGATATTTTGATGTTGGATGAGCTTAGGGCTATTCAAGAGGCATCAGCTGGACAGGTTCGGGTGGTACACACTCTGACAGCTGTCAAGGATGTATTGCAGAGGCTTCAGACACGCTGCTATTTCTCGGGGCGTCATGGTCACTTTCTGGAGGACCACAGACCAGATCCTCCACAGGAACTGCTTCTGGGACATATTAATCGGGACATGCTTCGAAAGGTCATGCCACCACGAGGCCGTCAGGTGCGAATTCTAATCTCTGGACACTTGGACTTCTTCGACCAGGTCGATTCTTTTTTTTGGGTAAACCTCTTTTAAAACAACATGAAGTTTCAAACATATGGTTCGTTTCCCCCAAATTCTAGGAACCGAGCTCACGAGCTATCCATCCAGTTACTAGGAGCTTCCTATTGCTCGAGCTTACGCCCCTACCTAATTAAAACAGTGCCTAACTCATTAAGTAAGACCGGGCTCAGAAAAGGAAAAGTATCTTTTGGACAATTCTCGAGCTGCCTTGGACTTGTGGAGCTGAGGACCCCAAGGGTTACTTGATACTGCAAAGGAATCTTTGATGTCCTTGGGCTATCCTCTCGATCAGCTCGTGTTCTTGCGTGCTACAGCACAAAGTCAGAAGCCTGAAATCATGTCCGATTCTGAGAGTGACTCCTCACCTGAGCCGGTAGCCATACCAACGATTTCTGTTTCACATGTTGCCTCTCCCGGGGATTTGCTGAAAGAACAGATCAGCCAAAGCCAAAGTGACAGTTCTTCGGTCAGTGCCGCCCCAAGTCTGACCTTTGCAGATCGCGTGCGCCTGGCCAGTACAAGACGTGCGGTTGTCTCGAAGTCTTGTTGTCTGCTTTGGTTGTCTGATGAGTCTGCAGATATCGCTCTTATACCAAAGTATTTGGATCTCATGATAGTTTTTGCTAAAAACGGTCCAAAGACAAAACGTGCCAAACAACGTGCAGAAGAGAAAAACGGAAAAGACAGACAAAAGATCTAAGGAGGGACAAACATGATAGTATCATGAGTCCAATCATCTGTGATCATTTTGTCGTGCAACAGATACTGACCCGACATCGTCTCTAAGTTCGATGAAGTGCTCGCATGCAAAACGGGGGTCAACCGCACTCCTTGCACTCCTTTCGTTTCTTTTTCGATGTGCCAGGGTTTGCAAGGGCTGGTCGACCTTCCTTGTTCTGAAAAGCCTCGACTCTGTGCTGAAGAACATTGGCGAGGCCAGGACCCGCCTCACCACCCCGGGTGGTTTCGTGGCCGAACCTGCCCAGGCGGTAGCAATCCTGGTGATCTATGTGTTTGACGTGTTCATTGCAGATGCTGTTTGCTCCTCAGCATACCGGCAGCAACATGTTGCTCCAGAGCACAGTTTCTCCAGAGCACAATCAGGATGTGCAGGCGCAAACAATCCAAATGAAGCAACAGGCTTCATTTGAGCATATACTATATGAGATCGAACATGATGAAGAGGTCATCGCTCAAGCCAATTGGGCGGCCATCGCTCATCGCTCTGTTCCCGTACTCCACTGTCAGGTCTCGGACTACTTGCCGGTGCACGGAAAGGAGTTTCACGTCTCGACATGCCTCATGGTTCCTTGGACAATTCATCAATGTGCTTGATGTTTTCCGTTCGTGAAAAAACGCAAGCAGCTCTTTCACATAAAAACACGTTCGCAGGAACGTAACAGGAATCCCTTGCTACTAGCATTAACCCTTTCTTTCCTACCCCTTACTAGCAGGGCACTTTCCTTGCGAAGAGGCCTCACATGGCCCCAAGCTGAAGCGGAGAAGAGCCTGATTTGCGACGTCTTAAAGCTGCAACTTCAGATCCAAACACCGAGGCAGTGCCCAATCAAAGATCCGACGAGCATGCGCGCGTCACATGAAACAGAATGCAACCGACGAAAAGCCGAGCGAAAAGCCGAGAGGATCGTCTTTCTCGAGACGAGTTTTCATCCAAACATGGTTCCGTTCGTAGCGTCTGATCGCTCCGTTCGTAGTAAGGCCAGGAGCCCCGAACGTAGCGTCTTGTTCCTAGATATTACATGATAATAAAAAAAGTGCCACGCTAGTAGTAACAAGTGCCTTACTAGTAGTAACAAGAAGCTATTAGTAACAAGTGCCACGCTAGTAGTTACATCAATTGTATTTGCCAGGCCGCAAGTGCATGGCCACAGATGCCCGCAGGACGGTTGCATCGTTTCGCCAGCCTTCGAACTGTGTGCACACATTTGGCAGTGCGCATTTGCAACGCCAGCTTTACCTCGCCAGCTCTGCATCTTGCAGATCCGCCATCGGACCTTGAAATGGGAAACCTTAGGTCTACCATGGTCCACTTCTTGCTACAGCCAGACATAGCCAGACTGCAGTTTTCTTTTCCTTTTAAATACATCCGTGTCTTCCATTGTTTTTGGGGCCAAGGTTTTGGTCATCGTTCTGACGGTCATTAGCTACACTCTTGCTCCTTCACGGTCAAAGTCAGCGTGAGAGCGACTCGCTCGCAGAGCTCCCAGACGGCTGTGATGCCGATGCCGGAGGTCACTGGGGGTTGCTCAGCGCCTTCGAGCTTTGAGGAAATGCTTATGTGGCTTACGTCGTTTCATTTTGCTAAAAAGGAATGTGCAGAATGGTTTTTGAATGTGCGAAGTGAAGGAGAACGCAAAGACTCGTCACACATTCGAGTCTTTTCTTTTTGTCTTTCCGAAACATTTTGTTTGGACTCGTTGTCGCTGTGGCACGTTGGCTACTTGGCTCAAAGAGTTGATGGAATGCGTAGCTCTAGGTTCGAAGAACTCATGGAAAGGGGTTAACGAAGCGACCCTGACTGGGTTGACCTGCATGGACAAGGATGTCAAGGCCGGGGACGAAACACATGGCGACTTTGGTGTCCAACCGGCGTGTTCGGTTTCTTCGAAAGAACAGAAATCGATCAAGCCTTTGCGGCAAGAGGCCAACATATGGATCCATATGTTGTTTTCTTTTTTAAAGCCTGCTCATACCCAATTTTCTTAAGTCCGCGGCTACTTATATAGTTAAGTAAGGGTTAAGACGGTTAAGGCATCAATTAAGTAAGGGCTAAACAAACTACTAGGTAAGCTTCTACTAGTCAACCGAACGGACGCAGAATAGCTCACGCACCCTTGAAGAAGCGCTCGCGCTATTCATTTGGGTTCCTAATCGCTTCTTGTTCCTAGTAGTAAGGCCAGGAGCCCCTATTAGCGTCCGATCGCTCCTAGTAGCGATGCCAGAAGCCCCTAGTAGCGAGCATTGTTCCTAATAGCTTCTTGTTCCTAGTAGCGATGCCAGGAGCCCCTAGTAGCGAACATTGTTCCTAATAGCTTCTTGTTCCTAGTAGTAAGGCCAGGAGCCCCTAGTCGCTCCGAGTAGCGATGCCAGAAGCCCCTAGTAGCGAACATATTTCCTAATAGCTTCTTGTTCCTGAGACGTTTTTCCCCAAAATTGTCAACTGCAAGGAACGCCTTCTTTCAAACATTGTTCCGTTCGTAGCGTCCGATCGCTCCGTTCGTAGTAAGGCCAGGAGCCCCGAACGTAGCTTCTTTTTCCCATTTTGTCGCGGAATTCAATTCAACTTCATCACATATGTGTTGCAGTTGCCAAGGAACGCCTTCTTGGTTTTAGATCCGGCACTGTATACCCAACAGATGGACCTTCTAGCCAAACAAGACACACACAGACAACAATCATGATGCATCATCATTCGTCCTCTGTTTGCACGCTCACCTTTAGCATCTTTCTGATCTCACGTGTCCAATTGGTGAACTCATCAAATCCGAATTCTTGGAATGGCTCCACCATTTAAGCTTTGCTTTTCTTTCTCTTTTCCGTGTTCCTTTTCCTTGCTTCACTGGACTGACTTTGCTTTGTACTGACGTGTGCAATCAGGCTCCGCCGACCTTGGCTGATGTGGACGACGAGGACGTTTCTACGGAGATCTTCTTGGGAGTGGTGAAGTCGTATAACGATCGTCGCGGATTTGGCTTCCTCGCCTGTACAGAGACCGCAGACCAATTTGGACGCGATGTCTACATGCCTAAGGCCAGGCCATCGGTCGTAGGTTGGAGGCCAAAGCTAAGAAGTAACCTAAAATAGTACAACTATGTACAACTATTTATATTACAAAACACATAATTTGATGATTACTTTTTGGCTGGATCTTTGGGACAGTTCCTTTTGTCGAGCAAAACTGACAGGCAGAGGCAACTATGGCTGCTTTGCTCGCCACAGGCATAGACAGAGAAACCGCCTTCACTATGGTCATGACTGGGTCTGACACTTAGAACTGGCCGGCTGTCCGATTTGACGACACCATGTGTAGGAGGCCATCGCTACTAGGGTGGAGGCCATGTGTACCGTTCAGACTGCAGGAACACTGCAGCAGCAGCTTGTAGTGCTGCGCTGGCAGCTGCTTGCCATGGGCCAGAAGCTTCGAAAGCAGCGGCTGCGGCATGTGCTGCCAGCTCAAAAGAAGAAGGTGAAAAATCCTCCGCGCCACGTTTGGCTGAAGAGGATTTGGTCTTCTTCCGTGTACGGAAATCTATTGAGGGATATCCTCAAGCAGTATGCGTGCAACGTCTGCATAAGCTGACGGGAAGTGTGCTACATCCACCCGAAGAAGGCGGTCGTCCTGGCACCATCAAGAGCGAAGAGGCCGTCGTTGCGAGCGAGCGACGAGTCGACAGTCCAAACAAAAACGACGTTGCGATGGCCTCCAAGCTAATAGCGATGGCCTCCAACCTACGGCAAGCTCTTTTGTCGTGTTTCTATGTTTACTTCGACAGTCCTTTCTTTCTCTGTTTCTTCTTTCTTTAGACTTTAGACTCTAGACCTTTGGGTCTGTGGAGATGACATTTAGTCCCCAACACTGAAGCAGCATCTGAGTCCCTTTGCAGGCTACTGCTGTCTGCGGGCGAAGGGAGGCCCGTGCTGTTTGGACGATGCATTTTCCAACCTAATAGCCATGGCCTCCAACCTAAGAGCTACCATTCGATGCCCTTTCATTGCGGATTTCGGAATCAGATCCCATTCGTCCTGCAGAGGTCTTTTTTGACTTTGAAGCAGCTGGACAGTTGCGCACAATCCCTGGAGACTTGGTGAGTTTCTGTATTCCAGAGGCGCTGGAGGGTCGTAGAAGTCTTTCTCTTCAGATGATTTGAATATCTTTGCGTTCTTGTCAAAGGCACTAGTAGCTTCTAGCTACTAGTAGTAATGCCCTTGTTACTAGAGCCCGCTAGGTTTTGTTCCAAACATCCAATTTGGAGGCTGAGAGCAAGATTGGGCAGGAGTCAGTTAGGCCATCTGAGCCTTTTGCCAGAATGGTGTGCTTATCCTCCACCACTCGGCCGCAGGGCACTGTCTTAGGCTGCTTCACCCTGGACTTGCCCAGGACAAGGAGCGATGATCTGCCAGGATATCGACCAAACTTGCGGTTGCCATGCCATGCGTTTGGAGACAAGCTGGTTTTAGCAGGGCTTCCTTCGGATTTGGACGAGACCGAACTCATGAAGTTCTTTTCAAAACAAGGTGCCAACAATGCCATTGTGGCACATGCCAGGGACAGGAGCTTTGCATCTGTGACCTTTTCGAGCATCGTGGATGTCGCCCGTTTTCTGAGCCGCATTGCTCATGCATACGCAGATGAGAAGGGCACCCTGATCGCGAGGCTGTTGTCCAAAACGACCAGTATGGAGGAGATCCCAACGCTTCCCGCTTTACCAGCACCCACTCTGTCGACCAGAGATGCTGATGCGGAGCTGGAAGCAGGGAGTCTCATGGTCCTTTGGTCACCTTTGGTTTTGGCCGTAGGATACACCGTGGAGTTGAGGCCTGTTGGCAGCAACTCATCCTGGTCTTCGGTGGATGTAACTTCCAAGAAGCTAGGGGCAGTAAGCAATCGCTTTGACCAGAGCTGCTCCTCTTGCGTGGTCAATAGTTTACAGATCAGCACTGCTTACGAGGCGCGCATCTCCTATTTCACGAACTGCCAGACGATTTCTGAAGCGTCGGATCCTTCCAAGCCATGTCTTCCATCCCAAGGGAACCAAGATCCCAAGGGCAAGGTGGCCAAGAGTGTGACACCAAGTGGACCAAGTGCCTCCAATCCGGAAGGCTATTCGAGCCTGCTTGGCACAAGCGGCAGCTTGCCCTTAGCAAAGCCGCCAGCACCGCCAGCATTCACTCCAGGTCACCTTCCACCTCTTCATCCACCGCCACACCCTCACCATCCATCACTGTGGTCTTCCTGGACTCCGGAAGTCTATCCTCCAGATCCAGGTGTCCAAGCTGAGATCATTCGTTCTTTGTAGCGACCGATCGCTCCACTTCTAGCGTCCGATCGCTCCTAGTAGTAAGGCCAGGAGCCCCGAACGTAGCCTTCTTGTTCCTAGTAGCGAGGCCAAGAGCCCCTAGTAGCGTCCTTGTTGGAATATTTGGACATATTTGTTCAACAATGTTTCAAAGGCATGTCTTGAACGCGAGCAATGACCAGACGTGCGATATGTGATATGTCTGTAAAATCGGCATAAGTTAGGATCGGAACTTGGTTCCCCCACCCAGCAAGGTGCTTCAGAATGCATCCATATATCATATTCGCACTTCACATTCTAGGAGCGATCGGACGCTACTAGGGGCTCCTGGCCTTACTACTAGGAACAAGGACGCTACTAGGGGCTCCTGGCATCGCTACGAACGGAGCATCGACCCAAATTGGAGCTGGCACGGCACCCCGCGCTGAGGTTACACGGCGCAAACGTGGCGTTCGCCCACGGGGCTGGTGGTGCCGCCGCCCGCTGCACCGGAGCTTTGCCCGGCCGATGAGTACGGCTTTTCTCTGTCAGTGCGGCTGGGGGCCCCGAATTGAACCGAAACAACAGGAACGGCTAAAGGGCTAAAGGTCTCGAGAGTGGTCTGAAAAGACACATGAAAAAAGCGAAAGACAAACACAAGACATCTCAAGAGGTCCAGAGACATCTATATAAAGGTCTAAAGAAAAAAGCAAAGCAACGATAAACCAAACATGTTCTATTTTGTGGTAGTCATAGGTTGTGTCCGCTGCACGCTCTTGAGCAAAATAATGTATTGTTGGTATATAGTAAGATCTTTCATGGAGACAAAACAAAACCAGCTCCTTCACTCTCAACTGAATGTTCCTGTCCTTAGCAGGTCTAGCAAGCCTTGTTCGGCTTTTCATGCGACAGGTGGCCAGCTGTTCTTCAAGCAGCTGCCTATGTGGTTGAATTGCGTGAGGCTGACTGAGAAGCGAAGGGTCAAAAACTCACCAAAAAAGGATATTCACAAGTTCTGGGAGAGTTTATTTGTTTGGATTCTCAAGTTTGGCTTTGCCAAATGCCAAGAGCAGGGCAGCTCTTTTTTGCGTCAGCCGGCAGACCGGCGGTCAGTGATTCTCAGACACATGAGACACACCGCCGTCCAGGCTGGCACCACCGTCTCTGAGCGATTCCAGCGAACCGCTCCCGAGGCAGATTTTCTCCAATCGCTCCAAGCCTAGTAGCTTCTTGTTACTACTAGTAAGGCACCTGTTACTACTAGCGTGGCACTTGTTACTACTAGCTTCTTGTTACTAGTAGCAAGAATGCTCTTAGTAGCGATGCCAGGATCCCCTAGTAGCGTCCTTGTTCCTAGTAGTAAGGCCAGGACCCTAGTAGCTTCTTGTTATGTTCGTAGCGATGCCAGGAGCCCCTAGTAGCGAACATTGTTCCTAGTAGTAAGGCCAGGAGCCCCTAGTAGCTTCTTGTTACTAGTAGAACATCATGCAGTTCTTCCCTCTTTGCTATTTTTGTAAAGGTTGGAGGGCATTTCGGCATTCCTATATAGGTTGGAGGCTTCCACAGGCAAGATCACCTGCTGATCGCAAGCCAGGCGAAGCTTGGGACCTTGGTGGAGCTGCGAGTTGGAGGCTTGCGGCCAGGACACTGAGATCCATTCCTCAAACCGAAGTTGACAAACTGACCGTGTGTACTACTCAAGCGTGCGCGCATGCAAGTATTAACGGGTAAATGTTTTCTGGAAGAAAGCTGACATCGGCCCAACGTTTCTTGAGCATGGAGCTTGAGTGCATGTTGGATGGGAAGCTGAAATGATGACTTGGTACGATAAACGCTGTGCAAGACAAGTCTGGGTGAATCATTGGTTGGCCCGTTGGGGAAGAAACACTGAAGGCCTCACCAATTGCAGGACCTGCACCTGGCCGGATCTACTGTGCTCAGGCCTGCTGGATGCAAAGGTCAATTTGAAGTCGTCAACGCAGGTCACTAATTCGGGCGCGGGTTTTCCACCTGACCTGGAAGGGCATGACCAAGGGTTGCAGCACATATATAGGTTGGGAAACCTGCATTTGGGGAGCAAGGAACTCTCACAGGACTGAGGAGGACAGGAACACAATCAAACACAAACGAGACAGACTTCACAGAAGAAGGCGAAAGAATCTGGATAATGAAGCAAAGGTCAAGGGCTGACCAATGCTCAACCTTGAAGGTGTGAAGGGAAGACAACTTCACGAAGACTAACAAGGATGCTGTCTTCCACAAAGAACCCATTGAACAAGACATTTTTGTCTTGACCTCACCCTCAATCGAGCCGAGAATCCTTCTTATATAAGTATTCTTCATGTTCTGTGGACCTCCCTTCCTTTCATTCATTTCCTCTCTCGTTTTTTCGAATTCGGATCTTGCAACCTTCTGGAGTCGCAATGCGATTCGAGGTCCGAACAGTTGGCAATGATGGCTGGGAGTCCTTGCCCTCTCCATGGGGATGGTCAGTGCCACTGCCGCCGGCAGAGGAACCTGCTTCGAACCTCTCCGCAGACGCGGCACCCTGGCAGCCGGGAGCGAGTCTTGGTGGCCTTCAAAGCAAGGAGAACATGATGTCAAGACATCAAGAACATGGCACTAGTAGCTTGGAGGCCATCGTTATTTGGTTGGAGGCCATCGCTAGTAGCTTGGAGGCCATCGCTATTAGGTTGGAGGTGTTTCTATCTCAATCTCTGATGTGCACGATTTATCAAGCTTTCAGATCGAGTAGTCGGGTCTTTGTTTCGTTGCTTTCCTTCTTGCTTCAGCCATTCTATCTAACACTGGTCTTCCCCTGCTTTGCATCTGGTTTAAAGGAATTTGTAGGTGAGATATTGCAGGATGAGAAGTGGTGGCCGCCGCCCTTGCTCTCCACAAGTCAAAACAACGATCAAGAAGTTGATTTCGGCGCAAGTCACTGGAGTGGATCAGCAGTTCCACCTCCTCCTGTTGCACCCCCAACTCTTGGCACTGGACTTGCTTTGGAAGAGAATTCCACGGAATGCTTGATCCTGGACTGAGAGATTGAAAGCTGCCACAGCTAAGGCGGCATGTGTAAACTACAAGTAGGCTAGCGAACAAGTAGGCTTGGATGATAATTGAAATTTGACAGACCACTTCTTGAGAAAGCTACACAACCTCTTTACCGAAGGATCTATCAGAATCTAGCATCCAGGCTCCGGCTCATGTGCTAAAACAGCATCCTGACATTGGCATTTCTCTGATGTTGGGACTTTGTTTGCTTGCAAAGTCCCCGAAGTTGAGCTATGCGGGCTGGTATCGCTTTCATTTGAGAGGCGCTCTGGTATCGCGAAGAGAGCTGGACATCCATTGTTGGGGAAAAAAGAGCTATATTTTTTTTCAATCATCTTTTTGCGTGCTTCCGAGAACATCATCGTATGCATTTCAAGGAAACGGACCTTCACCTAGAGTCATTCCCATGGCATTTTGCTTCTTTGCGCAGCCCGGCCTCATCTACTACCAGCATGAGAGTGGGCAGACGCAGTTTGAACGTCCAACCACCAGGCAATGCAGAGGCTTTTGTAGGGTCTATCAATCTTATAGATCAGCACCGTGGACATGTGACCTTCACTTTGCTCCTTCGCTCCAGCGCCTCGCGGCCAGAGGTCTTCAAAAGATCCACTCTCGGCATCCATAGAGGTTGAGAAGAGACGGAAAGTGGAGGCAGGGAAGCTCTGAGGCAAAGGGCATCGCTACGTTCGGAGCAAAGGGCATCGCTACTAGGAGCAAGGTCACTACTAGGGGCTCCTGGCCTTACTACTAGGAGCAATGTTCGCTACTAGGAACAAGTGCATCGCTTCTAGTAACAAGTGCCTTACTAGTAGTAACAATAAAGCTACTAGTAGCAAGTGATGCAAGAGTAACAAGTGTCCTCCTTACTAGGAGCAAGAACGCTATGAGCTTGGAGGACATCGCGCCACTAGGTTCCTCGAGGGTCACCCTCTTGGGTGACCTCGCCGCAAACCGGGGTGCTTTGACCGTGCCAGGCCGAAAAGAAAGAGGCCAGCGGATCCATTGACATGGCAACTCAAAGAGTATGCAACTACCTCTTACTGGGGAGAAGTTTCTGTCATTTGTAGGAAGATTGGTGAAGTGATGCTGCGAAGTGCTTGCTGACTCTATGTTCATGTAAACATCTTCAATGGAGTGATGTGGTGTACGGCGATCTGTGATGTGGTGCGATCTGCGATGTGTGATGGAACATAGCATGGTGGTGTGATGTGGTCGATGATTTGTGGTGAATGACCCCATCACACCCCCGTTGAACGCGACGAAAACCGTACAAACCATAACCAAAGCATCCGGACCCTCGGTGACTTACTTTGGACCCGCCCTCTTCGTACAATCTTCAAGCACGCGTTCCCCGTAGATGCGCAACATCACGCGCCTGACTTTTGTTTGGGCCCTGGATGTGTGCGATGTTGCAAGTGTTCTGTTTCCGTAACTTGTCAGCCGCCAAGCTTCGTCAAAGTTTGACAAATGCTACAACAAGAGCGCTTGTAAAGTGCTTGTAGATGCCAGTTGAAGGTCGGTCACAGCTGGGCACGGGCGGCATTTCGGAGTTTGCAGGCTGAGAAGTTGCCGGAACGCGCCGTGAAGAAAGGGGAAGCTCGCGTTTGGCATATCCTCAAGAAGCACAGGAAGCGTGAGGGGTTGGACGCTGAACAGAAGCTTGGGAAGGGTTTGCACATAGTTGCACTCCAACCTGAGAGCGATGGCCTCCTACCTAGAAGCAATGGCCTCCACCCTACTAGCACTCTGAAGGATCTTGCCTTTCTCATTGATGCGGACCTTTCTCTTAGCATTGTTTTGCTGCTCCATGTCTTGCTGGAGTGCACACCTGCAGCCCATGCAGCCGCAGGGATTTCTTTGGCAAACCTGCCAAGTCGTGGCGACAGAAAGAGATCACTTGGAGCAAGAAGGAGGTCAAACTCCCGTGTGGGACGTTTTTGTGCGGTTCATTTCGTGGGTCATGTTCACCGTTGTTTGTAAAAAGCTGTTGTAAAATGTTGGTATGACTAACTTGTGATCATTTGGAATATGACTAACTGAACGATTTGCCATGACGGGTGACACTTATATATTTTCGACATGCTTTTCAATGAGCGACTGAACGTTGGTTTTGTGGTGGTTCGAGTGGAAGGCGTGTGCGGTGTGTATTTCCATCACACACTGATGGTGTGTCGGTCACGAGCTTCAGTTTTCCCGCAGTGAATGTATGTAAATGTGCCCACGACGTTCCTGGTTGGAGGCCATTGCTATTAGGAACAAGAAGCTATTAGGGGCTCCTGGCCTTACTACTAGGAGCAAGGACGCTATTCGTAGCTATTAGGTTGAAGGCCATTGCTATTAGGCTGTACGACTTTCCCACCATTCTTCTTCTTCACATCTTAGGGGCGTTTGGGCGAAGCTCGGTGCGGAAAGGCGAAAGAAGCACTGAAAGCTCTGAAGTTCAAACTGGAGAACGTGGCCTACGGTGGCGGTGCACAGGAGTGGATGAACCGGATTCCTCCAACCGGACGGGTGAACCAGGTGCTTGGTGTTGTTCGATGCATCGTCCGTGTCGTGGGCACCAGGCACTGCAGAAGAAGTTTGAAAACTATGCCCGTGCCGAAAGCGATGATGACGTGCGGCACTTGGGTCGATGCTATTCGATGCATCGCGTGAATCTTCTGTGTTTTTGACACTGAAACCCTTCCCAGGAACAAGAAGCTTCTAGGGGCGATGCCCTTTGTTTCTAGTAGCGTCCTTGCGTCCTCTTGCTCCGTTCGTAGCGATGCCCTTTGCTCCTAGTATCCTTCCCTGAAACATGCCGATCTGGGTTTCTTCTGTCACTTCTTTCGACTCAGATCTCGGCAAAAGTGGGCGGAGATCTTGGGTCGGGAGCTCAAAGCTCCCACATGTCAACGGCCGTCACTGGTTTATAGCGACAACATGTCGAGAACTAAATGGCTTATGCAAGCCACAAGTGCCACAAGCTCCAACAGACCAATTGAATGCCCATGTGCATGCGATTTGACACTCAGACCTCTCTTGAATGCACTTAGGCCGATTACCAAGAAGAAGAAACTTTTTGGTGGCTATGAGATCTCCAAGGCTTCCATCACAGACCAAGTGGGTTAGTAAAGGGGATCCTGAATAGTCCAAAGGCATTTTAGTACTTAATAGCGATCTCCAACCTACTAGCACTCGCCTCCAAGTAGCAAGGATCCTGAATAAGTTCCACATGTTGCTACCTTTGTTACAAAGGGACTTAGACCAGACATACTGCCCTGACATTTGGTCTTTATGACCAAATCAGCTTGGCGCAGCAGATTCACGCCCTCACATTTTGTGGTGAGATCTCCTTCGAGCTCAAAATTGGAACCATTTCAGACATCGTGGAGTCGAGCGAGGCGGGGTCGCAGCAGAGAAACACCTTCCCACCATGCCTTCTGTCTCGTGCATGGTACCTGCCCAAGAATAGGGTGATAGTGGCAAGCACTGCAGAACGTTGTTGCATTTGAACAAGAACGTTCCACATAGACCCGAAACCCACAGCGCCAGGGCGTCCACTTGGTGGGACGCTTCGAGTGAGGCCCAGGCATTCTCCCTTTTCTGATCAAGTGAGCGCCAGCTCGGGTTTCTCATCGTGGGCTGATGCAACATGCCGCCGTTGCATCAGTGGGCTGGACCAGATGAAGACCCACGGACACCTGACCTGACATCATCGGCTGAATTCGGAAGAAAAGGTTTGGAGCTGTTTAAGAAAGGACCTCTTCCGGCAAAGGATTAAGAGATTCAGTCTTCCAAATGCGGGCTGCATTCTGGTCTTGCATCTCAGCTTTCGTTGAAAGCCCATCAGATCAGTCTCCCAAACTGGCGGTGTCCCGCCCAGTCCTCTGCATCGACAGGTGTTTGCGATTCCGTCAGCGTCGGGCGCGTGGGGCGCGTAGCGATCCCGGATAGACTGCCGCAACTCATCGCTGCCCCAAAAAGGGTACGATCGGTAGGGATGCAGCCAACGATGAGTATGGCTAGGGAGGTTGTTACGAGTCTTCGATGAGGTTGGATAGGTTTGCGCAGTTGGCATTTCTTTTAAGTATCAATCTACTAGACCTGTAAGCATGTTGGAGTTTTGTGTGTACTGTCCCTGAGGCACACAAAGGTCTACGCTTCTTGTTTGTGTTCACAAACACGATCGCTTCAGCAGCAGATCGAATCAACGAATGAGATTTGTGCGGCAGGTGTGGGACCATCAATTCTCACATAACAGTATAAGTGTCTAAAAAAACTGACCATGCACACCTTTGCAAGGCTCACCATGTAGGATTTGGGGGTCAACAGGCCATTCTCATTTGTGGCTTCATCACAGCCTGGTGGGATTGGCAGATTGAGATCATCATCGCTTGTACACCGTGGTCGAGGCGCCCGACTTGGTAGGACTCAAGCGGCTGAACGTAGATACCCGCCCACAGTGAAAACCACATACATCGATTTCGGCAACCAACCAACAGCTAGTAGTAACAAGTGCATCGCTACTAGTAACAAGGGCACTACTAGTAGCAAGAAGCAAGACGTAGCAACCCAGGCAGCCGAACACCGCAAAACTGGGCCATGACAAATCGCGCCTCACTCTTGACATTTCTTCTATCGGGACTGAGGTATGAGACTATGCACCAATTGCTGCAACTGCATTTATTTATCTATTTCTGTCAATCGTTTTTCTATTTTTACTATATAACTATGAGCCACTTGCTGCTGCAAATGATGCCCTGGTGTGCGCCACCCACACAAAGCACCAAACCGCAAATGTTCGACGCTTCAGCCCAGGGTAGTACGGGGGCGGGGTCAAAAAGCTTGCAGCCATGGTGTTCTGACTCAATTTTTTTGGAAATTTAATGTATTGGCCTGGCCTTAGCACTGGCCTCCAACCTAATAGCAAATGGCCTCCAACCTAGTAGCACTGGCCTCCAACCTAGTAGCACTGGCCTCCAACCTAGTAGCAAATGGCCTCCAACCTAGTAGCGAGTGGCCTCCAACCTAGTAGCAAATGGCCTCCAACCTAGTAGCAAATGG